AAACAATGCTTTGGGGTAAGTGAATGGGTCACTGTTCTCTTGTAAACATGGGCAGAGTCATGTGATGGCCAGAGTTTGGAGCATTTAACATTCCACTCCAAGTTATTGCTACAACATTATCAACATTTACCAAGAACCCTGCTGTCTTTCCTCAGAGGGAAAACCCCTACTTAATGCAGACTAAAACAATGGAACGTTGTAAAAAAGTTCTACAAAAATTTAGAATTTATACAGAGATCTTATCAGAGCAACAAAACAGTCCACAGAATCCCCAAACAGAAACTTTAGGTCAAACCCCACCCAACACCAACATCATCCACTGAAGTGCTCTCTGTCTGGTGAAAAATGACTCACCCCTTTAGCCGGCTTGCAGAAAACGGTTCAGTGTGACGGCGGTGTCTGCTGGAGCATAGAACCTCTGTCTCATTAGGCCATTAAATGAGGTGTAAAAACCAGGTCTTCTCGGCTCTGCAAACTGTTGTTGCTCCTGAAGAGAGAAACTCTGAAACAGGCTGGTTGAACAGCAAGAATCTTTATTTTGCTGTCCAGGAGATTTTTAGCCAAAAACCAAATCGTGGCCTTCTAAGCCAAATAAATCAACAGCATAAAAGATGAAGACGAAGGCGAAGAGTAGGGGCGTACAAGCCTTTTTATAGGTTTCACCGTGCAGTCCAACAGATGCACCATAAATTTTGTCATGGTATACCTTAAGCATTCCTTTCCTAATATGGTAACATGTGCCGAGTTCTGAAGTTGGGGTCTAAGAGAGACATAGTACATCTGTGCATTCCTGAAAAGAGGCCTCCACTTTTAGACACTACAATATGCAGTGAATTCTTATCTCAGACCAAAATATTTAAAGATGAGGAACCAGCTTTGTCTTTTATGGTAATTTATTATAAAAATATAAAGAATAAATTTCACTGAATCATGAATAAAACAGTAAAAACAACAACATGAAAGATGAAGCACTAAGGTTTATAAAACAGTTAAAGATGAAAAGGATTATAAACTTGATGTTATATGTCTAAGATAGGATCTGGATGTTTAAATCTTTATAGAATGAAAATATATTTTTCCTAAAGGAAATATTTTTCTTCTATTCATTAATTAACAAGAGACCCAGGTTAAAACCTAAATGTTTTTGTCAGTTTGGAAAGAAGGTGTTAAGATCTTGGTCAGATTGTTATTAGTAATTGTAATCTTACTGTATATCTGAAGGATAATATTAAAGTTGTCTCGGCTGTTTGACCAGGTTGTTCTGTGAACCATTAGTGTGTAAAGCCTGATTAGGTACAGTTCATCAGCTCAGTAAAGTTGGAGACAATCCTTCTGTCTCTTTGGAGCTGAAGGCTCAGTGTGTCAGACTGTGAGGTCTAGATGATTCAGATCTGTCCTGAGATCATTACAGAGAGGTGTAAGAGAACGTCCATCGTCCATTTACATATTTCTCAATTTAATGAGGAAAAAAACGGGCTCTTTTTCATGAAAGACAAATACCTCCCCAATGAATGAAAGTGAGAAAAACAGACTCAATAAATTGTATTTCCAGTCAGCTCAATTTCATAAAATATTTTTTTATTTACAGAACACATAAACTAACTATATAC